CGCATATACGAAGAAAAGTGCTATGAATTAAATGACAATAGGGCCTAAGGACCATAGTTTGGACCCGGTTCAAAGCAGGAAACATAATATACACAAATAATAATAATAATAATTATTATTATTATTATTATTAGGAAAGAAACAATTGAAACATTTTTTTTTCGACTGAGTACTGTGGTAGATATATAATGCTTCGTATATTTGCATCTCAGCATCATTTATTTGGTATTTTACTTTCATATCCAACAACAACAACAACAACAACAATAATAATAATAATAATAATAATAATAATAATAAAGAAATCGAAATCTCAAAAATGTGGCACATAGGCACATCAACAATCCCTGTTGTACTTGGATTGGTTGGAAAAGATTCCAGTAGACTAACTGAAGGGATTACTGAGAAGCCCATGCCTTAAAGAAATACAAAAAATTCTTCTCACGAGTACTGCCCACACCTTACGAAGGGCTTTATCTATGTAAAATATGTTGTTGTTTTTGTTTGTTTTTTTTCTCGTGGACAAATGTCATGATTCCATTTCTAACCTTAACTTGGGACCCAGAAAGAAATGAGTACACATCAAAAATCAAAGGAAATATTATAATAATAATAATATTAATAATAATAATAATAATAATAATAATAATAATTGGAATTACAACGAAAATGAAGTGTTTTTGGGGAGCTCCTGAAAATTTAACGATTTTTTTTCTTTAAAAACTTAAATATGAGATGTTGTTAGTTTTAGTGCTATTTTAATGTAAATATGTATTTTTCATCTTTTTCTTCTTCTTCTTCTTCTTCTTCTTCTTATTATTATTATTATTATTATTATTATTATTATTATTATTATTATTTAATTTATCTGTTTCTCTTTAATGAACTAGTTTTTTCTTATCAGTATTATTCATATATTCTTTAGAAAGACTACGATATTATTTGTAGATATGTCGAAACAAATTTTTTTCCCTTAGAAAAACTACGACATTAGTTGCAGATAACGCTAAGTATTTTCGAAGACTTCAGTAAATAAATAACGGAATATACACATGGACGAAAAAAATGAATGAACGAATCAATAATTTTATATTTTATATATATATATAACAAATCGATAATATTGATTTTTTTGTTTTTAAATATACTCCGATAAATAATATCACTGCTTTCTTTAAATCAATCAATAAGTAAATTATTATTTTTTTTTCAATTTGCAGGGATGATTCACTTAATCTTAAAATGGAGTAAACATTGTTATTATTATTATTATTATTATTATTATTATTATTATTTCACAACAGTGATGCGTTATTTTTCGTATAATTTTTTAAATTTATTAACCGAATGTTAACTTTTGCTTTTTCCATTATTTTTTTTGACAATTAATTTCGTTAAAAGGATTAGTGATAGTAGCAACAACAGTAATATTTTTTAATTAATTAACTACTAATCTGATTAACAGGTGTAGTAGCAACAAGAGTAGAATAAATAAATGAATAAATATAACTATATCTTTTTTGTAATAATTTTAAATATATATTATTTAAACACATGGTCTGGTGCTCCCGCTGTACGTCTTGAGGTCCTCGAAAAAAAAAAACAGAGGCAAATCTGCAATGCGATAGGTCCTGATCTGGTATCTCGCCTACAGTCGTTTTCCCACAGATGTGCCGTGGCTTCCCTCTGTCTTTTCTACAAGTATTTTCACGGCAACTGTTCGGACGAGCTACTTTCGCTGGTTCCCAGACTGCATGAATTTAAGCGAGGTACTAGGCTGGCATCTCGGTTCCACTCTCTCACTGTCGAAATGGTTAAAGATAACCGTCTCTTCTACTCAAACAGGTTCTTATCTCACGCTTTCCGTCTGTGGAAATCCTTCTTTGCTTGCTTCCCTGATAACTATAATCTTCAAATATTCAAGTGTAATGTCAATCGATATCTTCTGATACCTTGATTTTGTTCCCCGTCCTTCTCTGTATACTTTCCTCAAACATGCCTCTATACTCTTGTTCCCAATCCTCTGTAACCCCTTGCGTGCTTAGTGGCACTCCCGCCTTGCTTGGGGTGAATTACTTTAAAAAAACAATCTTTTTCCAATGTCTTTTTCAACGTCATTCTTTCTGGATTCCGATTGCGTCTCTGTCTCTTGACAACCCATCTAGGAAAAGAAAAAACTGCGGACGACAACTCGCAACTGAAGGTGTTAATCGTGCTGAATTATGAGGTTGCGAACGATCCCTGTACAGCAGAGGTCGGCAACCTACGTCACGCGTGACACACGTGAAGCAATTTCAAAAGCACGCAGCTGCAAATGACATCACGAAGTCTGAACCAATAACAACTAGAAAGTTAAGAAGATTTTTAGCTGTTTCAATTTTAATATATATATATATATATATATATATATATATATATATATATATATATATATAAAAGAAAGCGGTTGTAGTGGTTCGAACGTGAGAAAAGTATATATATTAAAAAGAAGAAAAGGGAGGTGCCGCAAACGTTTTTGGTTGTAATGTGGATTTATTTAGAAAAAATATATTATGCTTTGTTTTACATAATTGTACTACACGTGTTTCTGGTCTCGTGACCGTCTTCAGGTAAAAGCGGAGATTTCCACATATTATTAAAAAAAATAATTAATTTTTTCCTTATGTTTTTCAATGTTAAATATTCTTCTTAAATTTTCTGTTTTTGTGTTAGTAATCCAAATTTCTTTCTTGAATTGGCAATGAAGAGTTCTGCGCGAAGGGTCATAAAACAATTAAAGTTGGTCCAAGAGAAATGATGAATTACTTATCGGCATTTTATCTTTTAATGTTTTACTGACCCCTATGTGTTCTTGGATTTCTTCCTCGGTTTCCTGTTTTTTGTAAAATAATTCCGTTCAACATGTGTTCAGTTGTGTGTGTGTGAGTGTTTTTTTTATTGCACATTCAGCATCTTCTGGATGATTATTCAACCATTCTACCTCTGGTATAATCCAATCTGCTTCTTTGTTATGTTCATTAAAGCAAGCCCATATTTTTTTCCCTGAACTGTATAACCTCTTCCGTTGTTAGTGGGGGTGTCACTTCAATTTTTTGTTTGCCTATTTCTCTGTAAAATTTCTTCGCATTGGTTTGAATGATCTTGTTCCGTCTGTAGAATCTTGATTTTTTTTTTTCATATTGTCTAATTCTTTGAGCCATCAGTTGTATTTTTTATTTTATTGTTTCTTTAGCTGATAGGATTTCATTTTCATTCCTAATTTTGTATTTTCCTTTTACCTTTCTAACTTTTCTAGTCCTTAAATTTGTTGTTCTTGTTAAATTCATTGACTACTGATAATTCACTTCTAAGGTGTTTAATTTCTTTCTCTATTTTTCTTTTCCAAGTCGGATCTTTATATCTGAGGATAGAGGACCTGGAACAATTCCCAAAATTACAACCAACAAAGCAGAACCTCAAAATTATTAAACTCTACAATGCAGCACTCATATTAATACTATATGTGTCTATATCCCTGAGATGAGGTATTAGGATTACTTGCATTATTTACATTATTAGGCATGAGGTATTAGGATTACTTGCATTATTTGCATTATTACATTATTCGGACTGTTATTCTCATCGTCCTTGCCATATTCATAACGTTTCGACCGTTGTTACTCAATAACACATGGATAAAGTGGATAAAAACTTTGGTTAGATCCAGTGACTAGGCGAAAATAGTTGTGAGTTCAATACCAGGCTACAGTACTGGTGAACAAAAACTTAGAGAGTTGAGTTAAAGGGAAATAACTGAGGCATTCGGAAGGGGCATGGCACGTGGAACTAGAATGATCTACCTCAGTGGACAAACTAAATGGTTCGGTTTGAAATTCCAATCATCTGAAGAAGGCTGGAGCGAACAACGGCCGAAACGTTGTTCGCTCCAGCCTTCTTCAGATGATTGGAATTTCAATAAATAAAAAACCAGAGGCAAATCTGCAATGCGATAGGTCCTGATCTGGTATCTCGTCTACAGTCGCTTTCCCACAGATGTGCCGTGGCTTCCCTCTGTCTTTTCTACAAGTATTTTCACGGCAACTGTTCCGACGAGCTACTTTCGCTGGTTCCCAGACTGCATGAATTTAAGCGAGGTACTAGGCTGGCATCTCGGTTCCACTCTTTCACTGTCGAAATGGTTAAAGATAACCGTCTCTTCTACTCAAACAGGTTCTTTTCTCGCACTTCTCGTCTGTGGAACTCCCATAATAATAATAATAATAATAATAATTGGTGCAACTTTTCTTTTAAAGCTAATTGTGTTCATTTTCTTTCAAAAATATGGCATTCAAGATTAACAGGAAGTTGGGAATGAAGACTGAGATTGTACCAGTAGTAATCGGAGCACTGGGTCTCGTGAGAAAAGGAATGAACAATTTTCCTAAGAGTATCCCAGGTGACGTCAGCATACAAGTTGCTCAGAAGATCGCCCTAATATGACAAGTGCAATCAATTGAATGAAAATAGGGCCTAATGACCATAGTTTGGACCTGATTCAAAGCAGGAAACATGACATACACAAATAATAATCTCTATCTATAAAAGGCAGGATGTGTGTGTGTGTGTGTGTGTGTGTGTGTGTGTGTGTGTGTGTGTGTGTGTGTGTGTGTAACGAATGCACGGCCGCAATTTTCGACGGATTTGCACCAAAATTTACACGCACATGCACCAAGTTAGCGGGAAGGCCAATACCGACATTGCACTTCCCAACTCCCATCGATAGTGGAAATAATCGATTTTTTCATGCTTCTACGCCAGTTTTCATGTAGTTTGCAGCCATTTTCTACTGGCCAGAGTGAGAGCCTATAGCTGTCTGTCACGAATAGGCAGGAAGATTCTATTGGCCAGCGTGAGAGCCAACAGCTGACTGATACGAATGTTAACTAGCATGCAAAAAAAAAATCGATAGCTGCAATTGGCTCATTCGCTTGCTTAAACTCAACGTTGATTCTGATTCCGCAGAACTGGGTTGGGTGTGAAAAAGTATTTGTTGTTAATATTCTTTTTTCATTCGGTTTTTCCAGTTACGAGTCCTTTTTTAAAGCTGATCGTTTTGTGTTCATTTTGTTTAGTTCTTTTTTCGTAACAGATTTAATGTTTAGTATAGAGCTTAGAAAAAATTCGCAGTGTGAGATAGGCAAGAAGTAAAGCATGTAGCAACATCAGCAGGGCAAAGGGTACTCCTTTAAAGGCAAGGAAAGGGCAAAAATATTTTAAGTCAAGTGATAGCGATTGCTGTATGAGTCGTACGATTTTTAAATCAAGCATGGGCAACGCCGGACCATGCTGCTAATAATAATAATAATAATAATCTCAGATTTACAAAAGATTACATTGAACGGAACTGCAAATATTATTTGCAAAACCCTTTCCGTCTAAAAGAAACGTCCGAAATATCCATAGATAATTCTCCTACAGTGCACTTTTTACTCATACCTTGGTGGGGGGTGGCTAGTTAATTAGGCACTTGAAATTACTCGCTGGCAAGATGATACCACACACAACAACAACAGCAACAATTAGTTTTAATTCGTGAAAATTTCACAGTTTTCCTATTATAACATTCAGATGCGACTTAATTCTTCAATGATTGAATAAGCTCATGGCGAGTTCTACGACAATAAAATATCCGTATAAACCTGCCTGTGGCATAGTTAAATATTTGAGATGAACAACTTTAACAAAATATTGCAATAACAATTATAAATATGGGTCGTTATTTTAAGAAGTAAGGGGGTACAAATGAAAAGATTTAAATTGACAAGTTTTTTCAATTTCACTAAAACAACCCTTAAACACTTCTTTCTTTCTTTCTTTCTTTTTTTTTCTTTCTTTCTTTTTTTCTTTCTTTTACTCACTGAAACTAAGTAGTGTCTTTTCCCCCTCTGTCCACGCGATCAAAGGAGTCGTTAGACACTTGTATCTTCCCTTCTTTCTTTTTCTTTCTTTCTTTTTCATTCATTCCTTCTTTCTTTCTTTCATTTTCTCACTTAAACCAAGTAGAATCGTTTCTAATTTTTTTCACGCGATCGAAACTGAATAGTCCATTATTTATGAGGCATTGACAGGAGACGTTAAACACTTCTATCTTTCCTTCTTTCTTTCTTTCTTTTTTTTTCTTTTCTTTCTTTCTTTCTTTCTTTCTTTCTTTCTTTCTTCCTTCCTTACTTTCTTTCTTTCTTACTTTCTGTTTCTCACTGAAACCAGTTAGTGCCTTTTCCCCTCTTTCCACGCGATCAAAACAGAATAGTCCATTATTTATGAGGAACTGACAGGGCGTAACGGTCGTGCGAAATAACGAAATGCGGGAGAAGCACAATAATAATAATAATAATAATAATGCCAAGCTTTATCCTGAAACGAATTGATAACGAAGATGATGATAATGCCTAAGAAGAAAAAAAATGGAGAATAAGAGAATAAGAATAAAAGAATAATAGAATAATAGAAAGAATAAGAGAATAAAAGAACAAAAGGTGTGGGATGTACGTTTGGAAAAGCAATGACAATGTTTTCTAAAGACTTTTTTTATTCTTTTAATTTTTGATTGCTTTTTGATTTTCCTTCTTTATAATCAAATAATAAAAATAAGTTGAAATATTTATTCCATTGTCTTTTCAATCAATTTATTTAATTGACATTCGGAATTGCCGTCTTTGTTTATAGAGTGCAATTATTTTACAGGCTGCAGGGAAATATTTTGTTTTGCAATTGAAAAAATGTACACACCCACATATATATTTACACGCATTACATTCTGTCGGGGAAGTTAATTATATTTACATCTATCTATCTATCTATCTATCTATTCATATATATTTATCTCAGCAAGTTTATATCTCTCTATCTCAGCAAGTTCATATCTATCTATCTATCTATCTATCTAAGACTATTCCTATGTATCTATCTCAGCAAGTTTATATCTATCTATCTATCTATCTATCTATCTATGTTTCATTCTGGTGATATCTATCTATCTATCTAAGACTATTCATATGTATCTAGCTCAGCAAGTTTCTATCTATCTATCTATCTATCTATCTATGCTTCATTCTGGTGATATCTATCTAGCTAGCTATCTATCTATCTAGCTATCTATCTGTCTAAGACTATTCATATGTATCTAGCTCAGCAAGTTTCTATCTATCTATCTATCTATCTATCTATCTATCTATGTTTCATTCTGGTGATATCTATCTAGCTAGCTATCTATCTATCTAAGACTATTCATATGTATCTAGCTCAGCAAGTTTCTATCTATCTATCTATCTATCTATCTATCTATCTATCTATCTATGCTTCATTCTGGTGATATCTATCTATCTATCTATCTATCTATCTATCTATCTGTCTAAGACTATTCATATGTATCTAGCTCAGCAAGTTTCTATCTATCTATCTATCTATCTATGTTTCATTCTGGTGATATCTATCTATCTATCTATCTATCTATCTAGCTAGCTAGCTAGCTTGTTAGCTAGCTAGTTATCTATCTATCTATTAGTAAATTCATGTTACTTTGATTTAAACCATGAGTGTATTGTAATCTATAGAGTTTCGGATCATTCTTACACTCTACACCGGAACACAAATGCGATCTTGATTTTATATATACAGTGAGCTCGGCTTTTCCTTGTGAAAAAGAAAGAAAGAAAGAAAGAGAAATGAAAAATGAAAGAAAGAAAAATCGAGAGGAATAATTACGAAAGAGAAAAGAAGTAAAATAGGTACCTCCACTTTTTCGCTAAAATACCCCAGTATATCATGATGAAAAAAGACCCCAAACTCAATAAAAACAAAATTTTATATTTAAGATGTTCATTTTATTATTAAGAGGAAAGACCATTTTTTTATCTTAATTTAATTTTCTACTCCTTTCTAACATATTCGAAATTTGGTTTAAATATACATATATATTTTTTTATGTGTCAACAGTGTAATAGTGCTTGTAATGGACATTTTCTCTCTTGTTTTCCGGTAAAATAATACATTGAATTGGAAATTCTTGCAAAAATCAAATAATTGTTGGATTTTAATAAAACTTTCAGGACTCAAACACAAATTAATGAATTTATTTTTTAAATAATTTTTGTTAGAAAAAAATGGTAAAAATATGGGGGGGTCTGTTACCCCACCACACACACAACAAAATTTCATGAAATTTTCTAGAATTTCAAATCGTCAGAGAAATATTTAAAACAGGAGACCTTGGAGAATGTAAATCAATTTTTCAAACTATTGTCGACGTTTCTAAAAGCTACCCCAAATCGTAAAATAAAAACTGCAATAAAACTATCTAATTATTTAATTACATAAGCTTTTAATTGTTTTTATATATATTAAGGACATTAGAGTCTGAAGAAAATTTCTTTTTCGATGAATAATGAATTTTTACAATAATTGTTTGTATTTTTCATTTTTTAATTATAAAAATTCAAAAATGTTTTAAAATTCTTCCGAACGTCGTCAAAGTTAGGTTAGTTACTAAGCGAAGACTATATTTACTAAGTGAAAACTGAAAAGATTTATACAAAAATTTTGACGATGATTAAAATATTTGTTGTGTCTAAATGTTCGTTGTTTTTGTTTTTTTGTTTGTTTTTTAAGTATAGTGTTTGATAAGTGATATTATGATTAAAAGCTCACGTTTTTCAAGGTTTTTCGATTTTTTTTTTAAGCGTTTCACCCCAAGCATGGCGGGAAGCCACTGGGACGCAAGGGGTTACAGAAAATTTGGAGCAAGGTCAGATAGGAGTGATAGAAGAAAGGATGAGGAGAAGGATAGTGGATAGATCAAGGCAACTGGAGATGTCGATTGACATTACATTTGAATAATTAGAGATTATAGCTCTCAGAGAAACTGGAATAGGGAAGGGAGTTCCCCAGGTGAGAGGTGCGAGATATGAAGCTATTGGAGTAGAAGAGGCTACATTTAATAGTTTTGACAGTGAAAGGGTGAGAGCCTCGTAGGGCGCTTGAACTCAGCGAATGCAGCTCCTCGGAGCAATTGCCATGAAAGTATTTGTAAAAAAGACAGAGAGAACCCTTACGCTCATAAACGTTTTACTTAGTTGAGTTGCTTTTATATATATTTTTAATTTTTGTTAAGTATTCTTTTTTGTGAGATATATTTTGATAAACAAACGTTTGAAAGTTAAACCCTTATTTAATTTTAAGACTAATATTTAGTTTAATTATTTCATACTTTATTTCATTTACATTTGAAATTAGTTTTCTTTTTCCATTTTATTTTAATTAGCATACCTAAGTTTTAAAACTGAATTTAAAAAACAAAAATGAAAAAGTTTTCTTGAAGCTTTTATTTCAGCTTTATTTGAAAGGTAAAGAATTAAAAAAAAAAAAAAACTTTTTTGATATTACTTTCATTAAGTAAAATCCTCTGGTGTATTTCAAACAGAAATTATACATTAATTAGAATGTTTAATTTTGTCAGTAAAAAAAAAGCGATAAAAAATCTTTTGCAAACAAAATTAATTCCTGTTTTTAAAAATTTTGCAAAATATATTTTTCGGAAGCGTTATTTGACCAAATTTAAAGTTAAATTACTCTGATTTGAAACAAGAAATAAAATAAAATGACGGAAACAAAAAACAAAAATTTCAAATGTAGTAGACAGGATTAAAAAATTAGAGGTAATTCAATAATTTATGAAATGTGATTAATTTAAGAAATTTTTATGGCATTTTAAATTTTATTATATTTTCAGAAAACATGTTCAGTCGTAAGTACCTAAAAAATCAATAAAATGTTCAATAATTGCTTAAAATATTTTGTTAATTTTTTAAAATTATCTGGTATTTAATAAACAAAAACAAACCGATTTTACTTAGAATTCGTAAATTTATGTCAACTCTTGTCCACCATAGTTAACCTCTCAACACCTTCGTCCATCAATATGTCGATGGAGACGTGAAAATAACAAGACCCCGTGGGCAAGAAATGCTTGTATAGAAAATTTTATGCTATAAATATGTAATATTTGTTTCAGAACAGAGTAATTTAAATTTGCTAACTTTCCACAAATATTTTTTCAGAAATATATATCTTACTTTTGCAAGATTTTAAAATTCGAGAATTAATTTTTTTTATAAATTTGTCAAAAATGGCCGATTCAGTCCGTTTTTCCTTTTCAAAAGTTGATTAAAAATCTTTCTAATTTCTATTTAAAATACACCACAGTATTTTGCTTTCTGGAATTAAAAAAATGTAATCCTTTACCATTCAATTGATGTTAAAAAAAAAAAAAAACTTCAAGAAATATTTTTTCATTTATGAACATACCTTTAAACCATAATTATACCGAATTATTGGAGGTACCTTGTGAGAAAGAAAAAATAGAATGAAAGTATGAATGAAAACAAAAAGAATGAATGAAAGTAGAATGAATGAATGTAAAAAGAATGAATGATTGAATGAAAAAAAGAAAGAATAGATAAAAACGAATGAATGAATGAAAAAAGAAAGAATGAATGAAAAAGAATGAATGAAAAAAGTATAAAAAGAAAAGTAACATAGGATGAAAAAGAAAGGAAGAATGAAAAAAAGAAAGAATGAAGGAAAAAGAAAGAATGAAAAAGAATGAATGGAAAAAGAAAGAATGAATGATAAAGAACGAATGAAAAAAGTATGCAAAAGAAAGTAAAATACGATGAAAAAGAAAGGAAGAATGAAAGAAAAAAATGAATGAAAAAGAACGAATGAAAAAGAATGAATGGAAAAGAAAGAAAGAAAGAAAGAATGATAAGGAACGAATGAAAAAGTATAAAAAAAGAAAAGTAAGATAGGATGAAAAAGAAAGGAAAAATGAAAGAATGATTGAAAAAGAAAGAATGAAAAAGAATGAATGGAAAAAGAAAGAAAGAAAGAATGAATGGAAAAAGAAAGAAAGAAAGAATGATAAAGAACGAATGAAAAAGTATAAAAAGGAAAATAAGATAGGATGAAATAGAAAGGAAGAATGAAAGAAGAAAGAATGATTGAAAAAGAAAGAATGAAAAAGAATGAATGGAAAAAGAAAGAAATAATGAAAAAAAAAGAAAAGAAAAATAAAGGGAAAAATTAAGAAAAATGAAAGAAAAATCAAAGAATCAGTCGTGACTGAAAAAAAAAAAGAAAAAGATAAAAGAAAGAAAGAACGGAGATTCATAGAAAATAAAAAGGAGAAAATCATTTTAAATCAAATAATGAAAGGAAAGGCAAGGCAAACCAAGGCAAAAGCAATGGAAACAAAATATTACCTTTTGTCCCTAAAAGAAGAAAAAGAAAATAGTGAGAATGGGAAAAGAAAAGTGAAAATAAAAACAACGGGGGAATTTATTTTAAAATAAACGTCAAACAAAATACATTTCCTTTATTCGACCATCTGGTCACCATTTCCGTCATATTGACCTTTGAGCTGAGGGTACGGTTGAAATTAAACGAAAATAACAAAGCATGTCTTCACACTGAAAATAAATAAATAAAAAAACAGTTGCGCAAATGTCGTTAATTACCAAATCAAGTTAATAATTACCTGTCAAATTTTTAAGTCTCGAATAAATGTAGACATTGTCAGTTATCTTTTCTTTTCGACTAACTTGGTGAAATATATGCTCATCGCCGGTCAGTGACGTCACCAAAAATCCCTATAAGAGAAAGAGAGAGAGAGAGAAAAAAAAAACAAGATAATTATTCTATAATTAAACAAATTTTGACAATTTTAAAACAATTACATTAAAAATAAACAATTACAAAGTTATTTAGATTAAAACATTACACCGTTGTGCAAATTAATTGAAAAAACCGCTTTAGTCTCTGTTCTTTCACCATACAGTCACTTTTACACCCACTGGAGTGACAGGCTGTAATTGATTTCTATTTTTTCCTCAGATTTCGTCATTTGCAGTGGTGTGCTGTAATATTTTCGGGGTGCATGATGAAGTTTTTTTTGGGTTTGAAAATATTGTGTCATCCGTGATTGCATCAGATTTTCATCACGTCCAAACACTATTGTCCCGACTGTCGATTAGTTGTCCTACGACCATTGCCTGCGAAGGAAGCGTACGAAAATTGTAACGCTGCATGGACACATTGGCAAGCCTTACCAATGAACAAATCAAAGTACTATAGACTGGCCCGGTATATCTCCTGATTTAAATCCAATCTGCAAGGAACAACTTCGTGGAATGGACATACGAAGTACTTACATGTGCACTGGGTTACGTTTCATTGTAAAAACACGAAAAAAAAGTAAATACTAACGAATTTATTCGTTTTGTTTCAATTAATTTTCACAAGGGTGTATTTTGTCTGAATTTTTAGGATGAGGAGTTATCATTATTTACATTATTTACATTTAAACTTTTATCTTCATCTTTGTTGCTTTTATCACAACTTTCGGTTGTTGTGCCCTCCGGCCTTCCTCAGGTGTATATCGATCTGGGTAACCCCCAGGGAATTTT